TCAGAGCTGCAGTTCTTGACTGCAAAGACAGGCAGGGTCACTCGTACCCCTTGGACCTCTATGGCTGCCTTGTGACAAACCCCTGTGATCTGTTGCTTTCTACCATCAGCCGTCTCTATCTCGAATAGATACGACCTATCGAGGCCCAGTCCAACCTGTACTGCCAGGTCCTCGTCTATGATGACAGCCTCGCTGCCGTTATCRATCACAGCATCGAGTACCGCTCCATCATCTATAATCGTCTCTACAGCCCCGCTGCCAAGTATATAAAATTTGTCTGGAGGCACACCTTCCATTCCATCGAGAAGGACTGTTGCCATGCGATCCGCTCTGGCAGTCACCCCTGTCACTGCTACTGTAGAAGCTTCCGCCTTAGGGGCCCCTTAACCCTCATCTGATAGAGGTATGCGAGTCTTGCTCGTGATCATCTGTAACTCATCGCGAGCCGGCTTCGATGCCGCCAGGTACTCCAGAATAGAGCATTGCATTGGCTGTCGAAGAGCCCTCCTCAGTGGCTCGACCGTGTCAATCTYATCCAGCGARCTCTTCATTAAAAACTTCTTCACTCCCCGTTTTCGCGGCGAAAGGATAACCTCCTCTCCATCAACTCGTTGTCCGTCCTTCTCTGCCATCACGTAGTCCGTGTCAGTCTTCTTCGACGTAGACCCTCTTGCCGACTTCGTGGCCGCCACTCTTATGGGTGTGGTCGCCATGTCCCCTTCAAAAGTTATCTTGATGCTCTGGCTCCTGACCGGCTCCATTCCGTTACTCGGTTTCACTCTCCTTGCTTCGACATTCTCCTTCATCGAAGGGAACATCGATACATCTCCCAAAGTATCTGCCCACTTGACGTACTTGCGGTCGTCAAGCACGAGAAGCCCCTCATCTATTGCCCGTCTGAGGTCCGGACAATCCCTCTTGATATGGTTCTCTCCCCTACAGTAGACACATGAGTTCCTGGGAGTAGACGCCCTGTCGTCCGCCCCCCTAGACATCGATTTCCTGGCCGCGTTGGGGTCAGGCGACTTTGGRTATGGTTCTGATGAGACACCATATCCCCCTTTCTCATTCCGACTGCGCGAATCGTTGCGCCCGTCTCCTCCAGACCCTCCTTGCTCATACTGGCCTCGCGAGTCATTCCGGCTGTCCCTCGAGTCATAGTGTCCTCGTGACTCATCGTGTCGGTCTCCTCGGTTGTACCATCCTCGCGACTCGTCGCGCTGTCCTCTCACGTTTTCCCCGCGATCAAACCGTCCGCGCGACCCATCTCGTCGTTCCCAGTCTCGATCTCCTCTCTCATACCTACCACCTCGGTAGACATCTCGGCTAAACCTCTTGTATCTGTCATCCCTATACGCATCTTGGCCCGATCTCTCGTATCTACCTCCCCTATATCCGTCTCGTCGGACCTGATCTATCTCCCATCGGCCGCGGGAGTCGCCCCTCTCCCGGTCAGTCTCATAGCGGGGGCTCCGCGGGTAGTCGTCCAGCCTCCTCGCTCGTACGAACGCATCGTGATCTCTGCGGTCTCGGTCTATCTCGTCGTCCCTACGTCGCCACTGTTCCTCATCTCTCTCGCTTTCTCGCATCCGATAATCAGTCAGCGTCCGAGGATTTCTATCCTCGACGCTCCTCCAGGGATCGTTGTTCCTACGGTCCCAGCGAAGCGAATAGGACCCTCCAGGTTTGTCCCGGTATGCCGTGACCCCCGTAGTGGATACAATTTCAGTAACCTGCCTCGTCAATCCCTTCACCATATCCCGTATCTCCTTCACTTCCTCCGCCACTGCCTCGTTCTTCTCCGACCAGGGATAGTCCTTGAAATCAGGACATCTATCCGTGGCATATTCCTTGTAGAGAGAGAAGTCACGTCTTCTCATCCCCCTCCACACCAAATCCTTGTAATCATCTGCCTCTGCCTTTATTGCGAGCTTCAGGACTTCAGGAAAATCAAGCCTGTCTCGAGGAAGATCCCTAAGTATACTCTT